GGATAAGAACATAAAAAATCATAATTTTTTCATTTAATGTTGTGCATTTTAATAATTTTATATAAAATATAAAAATTAAATATGTCTATAATTTTTATATAAGATAAAAAATTGCTTTAAAAACATTTTTTTTTATTATTTACCCATAATGTATTACACCCAACTTGTGGTGCTGACATCATATTCATTTGATTATTTACATGATTTATTTGATCAGAATATGATTCTGTATAACGTTTATTCACTGAATCTGGTGGCATACTCATTGGATTTGATGGTTGACTTGGATACTGAAATTAAAGATTCAATATTCTTTTTTAATTATATTATATATTACAACATATATTATATATTTTTAATTATATTATATATTACAACATATATTATATATTAATTATAATTTTAAATTATAAAAATAAAATATTTTAAATTTTCACAAAAATACAAAAATAAATATAAAAAAATTATTTCAATAAAATCTGAAATTTAAACACTTATAATGTGATAAATTTTATAAATAAAAAAATTAAAAAAATATATAAATTTAATATAATATAAATAATATATATAATAATATAAAAATATAATAAAAAAAATATATAAATTAAAATTGAAATTATACATTTAATATTTACAAAAAAAAAAAAAGATATTAAATATTTCTTTTATATAATCTTTTATTAAATGCAGTATTTAAAAAATATCTTCAAAATTTAATAAAATTTGAATCGATTTATAAAAATAAAATTGAAACAATATTCCTTGTCAATTACTAAACAGTTTTTAATAACTGAAAAAATAAAGTTAATGACATTACTTATACAATATGAAAAAAAACTAATTGATAATATTGATATTTCAATATTCAAAAATTAATTTAATTAAATTTCAAATTTAATTAATGATTTATTAAAAATCAAAAACAAATCAAGAAAAGACAGAAAAGTTTGTATTATAAAGCCCAAAATTTTCTTTCTTTTTTTAACATGGAAAAAATTTTTCACTTTTTAAATAAAGTTATTATACAAATATGAAGAAAAATTTAAACTTCATTACACAATACATATTGCATTTTTCACAATAATTCACAATAATAATTTCACATTTATTATTGGAAAAAATACACTTTATCGACGTACTATACAACATTACGTGGCAGTTCAGTTAATTCAAGCGCCATTTTCGAACAGATATATGATCGCGAATCACAAAAAATATTGAAATATATATTGAAATATACATTTACAATATACATATTTAATATATATATTGTATAATTTATATTCTATATTTAATATATATATTGTATAATTTATATTGTATATTTATATTATATATTGTATAATTTATATATATGTGTACTTTATTATATATATTATATGTATTAAATATATTAAATTTTTCTATTTATTACAAAAATATTTAAAAAAAAGATCAATTCATTATATCTATAGCAAATATATTATACAACAATAATCTTTTGCATATTAAAATGTTAGAATATTAATGCAAATGACTCTATACACAAAATTAAGTAAAAATTAAGTAAACAAAATAAAAATAAAAATAAATATACTTCATAATTATGAGTAGATAAAAATATTGTAATTCAATAATTTTTTTTAAATTAATTTTCTAATTTTTCTACTTTTTTTTTATTTATCATAATTTATTAACAAAACAATGCAATAATATAAAAATTATTATAAAAAAGATTGAAAAAAAAATCTTATTTATATTTAAGTTATAAACAATTTTAATTTGCATTAGATAAATATGAAGATAGAATGAAACTATTCTGTCTCTATTTTGTTTTATCTAATGTAAATTGCTTGTAAATCACAGAAATTTCTGCAAAATTCAATTAATATAATTAATATAATTAAAGAAAAAAGCTTAAAGCTTAAAGATTTTTTTATTTCTCAAATATAATAATGTATATTCTAATTTAAATATTTTGTATCTTTTTGTTATGTGCATTTTGTATGTTTTTGTAGATTCAAATTTTTCATAAATATCTGCAGTTTACTTATAACTAATAAATAAGCTTTAATTGATATCAACTTTATATATCAATTTTTGTATTTGTTTTGGTTTCCCGAAAAATTGTCTTCTCATAAATATTCTGTATTTATATTAATTTGATCATTTTTTACAATGGAAAATTTATAACAATTAAATTAAACTTAAACATAAAAAATCATCAACACAAATAATCATAATCTTCATATCAAACAATATATTTTAATTTTTGAAAAACTATAATAACTATAATATAAGTTTTAATAAGAAATTTTCATAAGACTTTGAAAAAAAAAATATATATATATGTATAATATATATCTTATATAAATGTAATATTATAATAAACGTGATTCATTTGAATTATTATATAAAAGATAATATATAAAATATATTAATTTTTTTGGACAAATTTAATATTATAAATTACATTAATATAAAATTATAAAATACATTTTATATATAATTTTATATAAAATGTAAAACTGCTTTAAAATATTCATGTTTATTACTTACCCATAGTTTATTATAACCAAGTTGTGTTGTAGACATCATATTCATTTGATTATTTATATGATTCATTTGATCAGAATATGATTCTGAATATCGTTTATTCATAGAATCTGGTGGCATACTCATTGGATTTGATAGCTGACTTAGATACTAAAAAAAAAGATTAAATATTCTTTTTTTTTAATTATTATTTTAAACAAATTTTAGAATATATAAAAATATATTCTATATATTTCTAATATATAAAAATGAAGTGAAGAAAATGAAATCAATATTATAAATAAAAAATTTAAAATAAAAGAAATAAAAAGTATGTATACACTTAATAAAAAAAAAAAATAAAAACATTATAATATAATATATATTTAATTATTATATAATGTATATTAATTATAATGTTTATTAATTATATAATATATATTAAATATATTTTATTTTTTTAAAATTTTATTAACTGTAGTATTTAAAAAATATCTTTAAAATATAAAAAAATTTCAATTTAAAGATATAATATATATTCTTTAATATAACTAATTAATATAACTAATATTGAATATTAAAAATATTAATATTCTTTATTAATTATTGAAAACTATTTGAATATTAATAGTTATCAATAATTGAAAAGTAATATATATATATTTCAAAATTAAATGTAAATATTTATATTAATATATATTAATATTGATTTTCAAAAAACTAATTTAATTAATTAATTGTACAAATATTAAAAGATTAGAAAGAAATCCGAAAAGGTTAAAACGTCATAATCAAGTAGAAATATCGTGGTCTATGGTTTTATTTATCTTTTCAATAATAAAAAAAATTTCTCACCTTTTGGACGAGATTAACACAGAATATATGATAAAAACTTTATTCGACACTGCACAATGAAATGTACATTACACTTTTTACAGAATAATTCGTAGTTTATTATCCTCGAAAATATTATACTTCATCAACGCGACACACAACATTACGTGGCAGCTCAGATTGTGGCGCCTTTTTTAATTAGTGGACTGATCACAAACTATTTATATACTTGTGTAATTAAAATAATTAATTTATTAGAGATATGTATTTACATATACATAATTACATTGCAAATTCTATAAAGATTATATATATTTGTATATATACTTATATATATATATATATATATATAATTTCATAAAACTTAATATATATATATTTATATAATATTAATATGATATTATATTTGAATCAAACTATATCTCTATTCCAAAGAAAATTAAAAAAGAAAAATGTTCGTTTTTATGTATACATTGTATACATTATATATTGTAAAATGCAATTGTTTTAAACAGTATTGCTATTTATAATATTTTTTGTAAAATAATTTTTGATATTATTCTATATAAAAAAAATAGAAAATAAGATCATAAAAAAAGTATAGTTTAAAGTATAAGTTTAAAGTATAAGTCATAAAAATGCTTAATATCTTTCGAAATATTTCACTTTATTTTATACATTTATATGTTTAAATATTCTATTATTATATTTTAATCATTTTAATACTTTCATTTTATCGCTCTATATTTATTGCTCTCTAAGTACATATGATATTACAATATTACAAAAAAAAAATCATAAAAAAAAATCATATTCGAGAATATATTACATATTAAAATGAAATAATAAATTTATTATCGTTTTTATTACATATTAATATATTTATATTTCATAGATTAATATAATTATCTCTCTTTTATCAACTTATTGCAAGAAATAGAATATTTCGGAAATAATCAATTAAATTTTCGTATAGTTCATTGATTTTGATATTTATAATCATTTTTATTGCATTTTTGTACGAATTGTGCAATAGTTATATATTGTATTATATTATTATAATTATATATTGTATATAATTATAATTATACATTACATAAGAATGAAAACAATACATCGATGTTTTGAAAAAATCGATGTATTCTATTTGTATGTATAGATTAATATATTAAAACTATTATTTTTTTCAATTTTGATATTTACATAAAATAAAATCTAAATCTCTGAAGTTGATCATTAATTGTTATTGAAAATGCTCATTATTTAATCATCTCACGAATGTTAAATTAATATATTATTCGATTTGAATTTTTAAATTATAATACATATAAATTTTCTATTCCAAATAATTTGAATTTGGCGGACTGGTGCTTTTATTATCCAATTATATTGGATTGGATAAAAGTTCAATATGGCATCGTAACTCGTAAAAATATCCAAATTACAATCTTGAATGAAAATTACTTTTGAATCATTGAATTTTAATAATTATGATCGCTATTTTCGAATTTTACACATTAAAAATGATTTACATATTGAATTTATGAAATGCATAAAAAAAGGATAAAAAATTTTAATATTCTTTTTTGAAATTTTACTTTAATTTTTTATGAAGAGATGTGAGGTTATAAGAATTATTATTTAAATATAAAAAATAATAATTATTAATAAATTATTTAATAAAAATTTTATATATTTTTAAAAAATTCATATAGTAAACAGTGAAGAAACAGTATAACAAAATTCAACATTTTGTATTATTTGAATTTTTTCTAAAAAGATTTCTCCAAGTGTTATTTTTTCGATAATACAATGTATTAACAATTAAATGAAAAATAATATAATTTAAAACAATAATCATGTCAGAAGTAAATAGAAAGCCAGATACAAAAAAAAGAAAAGAAATGTTATATGGTAAATATGTGTTTAAATTAATTTTATTTCGTAATTTAATAATTTCATTTAAAATTATATAATTTGAAAAGAATATATATGTTAAATATATATTTTTATTATTTTTATTTATTTGATTGTTGTTTTATTATAATTATAAATGTATATAATAAAATAAGAAATTTATATAAAATTTTTAATTTATTAAAAAAATATAAAATAAATTTAAATTCATAATTCATATAGAATAAAAGATATGAATTTAATTTATTTCTATAGTAAAATATGAAATTATATATAATCTATACTTTTTTAACTGTAATGATATAATATATTTTAATATTTATAATGTTTGTTTTAATAATACCAATATTATGAATTTTTGTTTCAGAAACATTATTCTTGACTGGAATAGCAGGAATTTCTGCTATGATTGGTTTTTTTAATGCTTTAGCATCAGTTAAGAAACAGGATAGTAAACATTTTGATATTGGATTTATGGGAGGAAAAGGTCTTCAAGAATCTGGTGCAGCACTTGCTACAAGAGCTTTATTATGGGGTTCTGCATGGGCAGTTAGTGGTTGTAGTATACTTTTTTATGGAATTTGGAAACTATCTGGAGCTACTAATGCTAAAGAGTTTCGATTAAAAGCTGGAAATATTTTACCAAAAATACCAAAAAATGATCCTCCTCAAAGTAGAACTGAATTTGAAAATCTTACAGATTTATTAAAATATGTTTCAGAAGAATGGGGTAAAGAAAAATAATTTTGTTTACATTATATATATATGTACATATATAAATAAGAAAGAATATAATTGTTTTGCTCATCTTCGCACATCTAACATTTGATCTATAAGTTTATAAAACAAGAATAGAATTGCATTCATAAAAAGTTAGTTTCAAATATCTATACGTAAAATAAATTTAAAATCTTGTATTGTTTATTTATTATGTAAAAATTAATATTTATAATATATTATTAATAAATAATAAAAATTTGATTTATAATATCATACAAAACATATTAAATTTTACATATCTAAATAATATAAAAATTTATTTTAATTGTAATTCTAATAAAAGACATTTGATTAAAAAAAAAATATATATATATATATATATATTATTATATAGATATATATAATATATTATTATGTATAACTAAATTTAAGAATAAATCATTTAAATTAAAAAAATAAAAGAATGCAATTGATTTTTTATTATAAAAAAATTCGATTCATTTTTTTATAAATCAATTGAATTTCTTTTCTTTCATATGCTTATTTTCTTTCATTTAATTATTAATTTATTACAAAAACATATAACAGATATCACTAATTAATATTACAAAAATAATATTATAATTATAAATATATATAATTATAAATTTTCTATAAGAAAATTAAAAAATATTTGAAAATTCAAATTAAATTAGCTCTATTTCTATCATTTTTTTCACTTAAATTTAGATTTTAATTAATATTTTATATATCAAGTCTGACAGACTTATGCAACTCTTATAAATATAGATAAGGAGAGGAAATGATAAGAAAAAACAAATAAAATAAAAAATATCAGTGCTATCTCCAAAGTGCCATAAATGAAACATACATAAAAAATAATAAATAATACAAGAAGAATAAAGATAGAATAAATTGATTTTCAACATCATCTATCAGATATCAAAAATTTCTTCAATAAAATAGAATAAGTAATTAAAAATCCCATCTTTTGAAGAGTACTTTTAAAAAAATATCTTTGATATTCTACTAAAGATAATGCTAAAGACAATTTTGTTTTCTCTATATTCATATTTGTTTCTCTATTTACTATTCTTTCCATATTTCATTTGCAGTATTTTAGAGATGGTGTTGATTTCAATATTTTTACTCTATTTCTATCTTTCTTTCATTTCTTCTTATCTATATTTGTTCTGAAAAATTTATGCACTCAAAAAACGATTGCAAAGAATGACGCAATTTATAGTAAAATAAATATGTTATTGTTGTTTTACAAAAATTATTATTGTATTTGAATGCTCTTATTATTACAAATAAATAATCGAGAATAAGATTATAAATTATAAATTAAAAACTTAATTATGAATATCAATTTAGCTACTATACTATACGTAATATCTCAAATATTTATCTCAAAAGATTTTTTCATGATTTTTAATCTGATATAATTATCGAAAATATATAACATTAAGAAAAATGAAAAGATAAAAAGATAAAATAATAAACAAAAAAACAAAGAGAAATATTTTTTCAAAATATTCGATTTATTATCTTTTAAAACATGTTTATTATCTGTAAAGTAGTTATTAAAAGAATTAAAATTAATTTTCAAATAAAGAATTAATTTCTTTTTGATTGATATTTTCATCAGATTTAAACCATAAAATTTCAAGACCATCGTACATTGCGGGTGAAGCAACTGCTTCATACCACAGAAGGGGTAATTGATTGACATATGTTGAAAGTTTATATATATCATCAATCACATATTTATCACATTGATTAATATCAGCATTGTTAGGCAAAATAAGAAACCATAGATTTCCAAACAAAAATTCAATACTGCTTGTAAGATCTTCAACTACTACTTAATGGAATCTTTTTTGCATCATTGTTGCATGATATTTTATATGCGAACAATATTCTAACTTTAGTGTAAATGATACCACATTAAATGCATTCTCAAGTAAATAATATTGGTCAACCATGTTAACAGCACTGCTAATCAAATCTATTAATTGGTTCTCCTTAGTAATTATAATCGTGTCACGTCCATTAAGTATTTTACCAACTATTAATTGATAATTTTTTTCCAATTCATCATCATTGCATTCCTTTTGAACAGAAAACGATATCACAATTTCTTGTTGATTATCGGAAATACTTTTCTTTGCGATACCATTTATTTTTTTATTTTTTAAATTTTCATCAAAAAATGACATTTCTGTCATATTTTATATAAGATAAAAAAATCTTCTAAGATAAAAAAATTTATTTAATTTATTTTAAAAACTACACAGTTAAAATAAATACAAAATTATATTTACAAAATAAACTTTTCGAACTATAATATATTATGAAATAAATATATTTTATAAATATTAAATAACATTTATTTATTAAATTATTTTAAGAAAAAAGAATATATATAATTGAATAAATTCAATAAATTTAATAATAATTAAAAATTATTAAACTTTTTAAACTAAAAAAAACTTAAAAAATTTTTAAACTATTTCAGAAAAATTAATATTATTAATTTTAATTATATAATTAATAATATTTACTTGAACAAATAATGTTTAAAATTTTTTAGATAGAAAAAATTAGATTTAAAAAATATATATATTTAGTCAAGATATGTAGCATGATTTAATACAACTGGAACTTCTGAACGAACGAAAGAAGTAAAAATCGTAAATATAACTGCATGACTAACTGAATCAAATAATAAATACTTATTTATTAAGTATAATACTTACATTTACACATGTTATCTCTCTCGATCATATCTAAACAACGAGAAGTAAATAATCATGATTTTTTCTTATTTTTTGATTTTTTTTTTATAGAGATACACGTATCTTATTCATATATCCTAGATCATAGATCGATTACTTTTTTTGCATAATTATTTCAAAAATATAAATTTTTAAACTTATGTAGATTTTCATGAAAATTTTCTTAATATATTTATTTTTAATATAATACATTTATTAAAATTATTTGTGAATATAAACATTTTTTTTTTTTTCATTTTATCTATAAATGATTTAATGAATTCTTTATTTCGTTGAAGTAAAGTAAATTTTTTATAAAAAATATTAACAAATATTAACAAATATATTTATTTTATTCTCAAACTCAAATAAACGGATTTCCGATCCAAATCTAAAAATTTTTTGAAAAAAAAAAAAATAAAATAAAAAAAAAAGTATATATTTTTATTTTAATTTTTTCTCTTTAAATTCCGTTTTTTTAATTTATAAGCATCCTAAAATTGTAATTAGAAAATAAATTATTAAATTATTAATTGCATTTAAGATAATTAAGAAATTTTATGATTATATACAAATATTTTTATTTTCAAATACAACTAAATTCATAATCTTTCAGCTTTTTATACTAAAATACCATTGAAAAAAACATTCTTGAACAATTAATCTTTAATCAATCTAATATGTTTTTTTTAAAAATAAAATTCTTAATTAAATATTTGAAAATATATCAGATAATAGAGTAACTTCCTAAATGTATAGAATGTATTATTTTAAAAACATACATATATATATGTATATACTTATTGATAAAAAAGTTTCGAGTAAAAATTCTTATAAAAATGAAATAACAATATCATAATATACATTTAAAATGATATAATTAACATTATCTATGCATAAATTCGATTAAAATATTTATAAAATATATACACATTTTTTTGTTTTTATCATTGTTTTATTCTTAATTTTTATTCATTATGTTTATAACACATAAGTTTCTAAGAAGTTGACATTTGGATATTTGATTTAATTATTCTAATTACAGTAAATACATAAGATAATTATAAGTTTATGTCTGTATAAACATGTATAATCATAAATATATACGCATAAAAAAATTTATATTTTCAAAAAATCAAATTGAGATATGAAAAAAATTAAAACATAACCTGATTTGTTTTGTTGCTAATATAATTCAATGTTGAATTGTATTTATAAATTTTTTTTAAGAAATTCAATACACTGCACTCAAATATGTTTTTCTTTTCTCGTTTTACAATATGCTTCATTCATTTAAAATGTTATAATGTATACATAGTTTTTGCAAAATTAAAACGAAATTAATTATACGTTAAATTAATCACGCGTTCTCTTATATTATACGTAAAAAAGAAAGAAATGGAAGGAAAGTGAAAATATTATTAGTATGTCGATCTAATGACTAGATTATAACTTCGATCTAACTACACATTTAGCCATTGATACGATTTACATAGATTTGTACATTGCCTAAAATTTTATTTTCTTACTTCCTTTTAGATTGTTTTTTTCTTTACACTACTTTTTATTACATTTTTAATATGAATATTCACATATTTCTCTTACTACATTTCCATTATTATTTTTCTCTATTATATATCGTTTATAAGCGGAATTCACATATTTTTTCCTTTTTCATTTATTAATAAATTTAATTTAACTTCTCTTTATTTTGATATCAAATAATTTTCAATTTCTTTATGTTAAAATTAATATTTTATCAACTCAATGTTTATATTGCAAATTTTTAATAATATGTTATTAGACAATTATTTCTAAAACATTGCTTAAAATATATTTAAATTTAATTTCGTCTATAAAAGAACGAATAAATATAATGTTTAATCTTGATGATTAGAGATATTAACATCAAATTATTATAGTATATTAAAATCATTGAATATTACCATTTATAAATAAAATTCTACTTAACTTTAAATATATATCCAGAAAAGAAATCTTATTAATTTTTTTTCTGAAGATTTTTGTTAAATATTTCCAAATATAAGATTTCGTTTGTTAAATTTAAGTACACCTTAAGCTCTTTTATAGTTTTGTTATTTATTTTCTTGCATAACAATTCTAATAGTATTGTTAAAAATAAAACATCAGCAGAATTTATTAATTAAGGCTCGGATTCTGACCAATATCCCATTGAATTTCAATTCTGGGCCACTTTGTTTGAAGTACTGTTAACATAGGATTACTTTCCATAATACCCTTGATAGTACACTCTAGTAACACAGCTTGACCTTTATGATATATCACTTTATTTTCTGGATTGCTATGTTGTAGACCATTATAATGATACAACGGAAATGTATCTGGGCATGTTCGCGGCTCTTCAGGAAAGAATTCATCCATGAAATTAGTACGTAAAATAATTCCCAAATTTTCACTATCCAATTTTTTCTTCATTACATTGACACTATAATAAAAACAAATTGCAATTACAATAAGGAATTATCTCTAATCTTGGAAATATTTTCATACGAGTACATTCATTATCCTTTTTTTTTTTTATTTATTTCATTCCTATTCAATATTTATCAATTGTTTGCTGTTTTATAATTCAAAAGACGATTCTCGAAACATCTACTTTTATCAAATTAATTTTAATTACTGAAATACATATTGATATTTTTTTTCCATTACTTGCTACAAATTTTGATTCTGAATCTGTAATTATGAATCTGCAATTTTCCTATATTTTTTTCTATATTTTTTAAATTAAATTTTGCAGAAAAAAGTTATAATAAATTTTAAAAAGTTAGTGAAAATCTAATATTAAGAACCTACAAGAATTTTGTATGATTTGCGTCATACAGTTTGATTATACATATATATTGCTAAAATGTAACAAAAAAAAAAAAATAATAATAATATATATAGATACTCGATATTATTTTATTAAAAATTTAGTAATAATAGGTGATGTGTTAATACAACATATAAAAAAATATATATATATATAAATATATATTGTAAAAATAAAATAATTTATAGTTATAAAATAATTTAGTAATTATGTTTATTAAAGAATTTATAAGAGAATTTACAAACAAAAAGGAATTATATATTTTTATTTATTTAATTTATTTTTTTTATTTATTTAATATTTTATTAAAAATTAGATAATGCATTATTAAAAAGCTGAAAAGATATTCTTGTTTTGAGAATTTTTGTTTGAAAAATGTCAAATTGACACGAGATTAAAAAAATTAAGAATATAATAAAAAATTTAATAAGAATATTTGTTTTATAAAAATGTAATATAAGTTTAAATGTAATATATAATCTAATATAATATAAGAACAGATTATCCCTTATCTATCTTTTTTATTTAATATTTATTTAAATTATTTTATTTATATTTATTATTTATATTTATTTAATTTTTATTTAAAAAAAAATAAAATAAACATGTATAGTACAGTAAATTAAAATATATATATTATAATAGATTACAATTAATATATGTATAATCGAAATAACACATTTATTAAATTCCTATCATAATATTAATAAGCAATTATTTATAATATTTAACATAATAATATAATTATTCGAAAACATATCGAAATTAATTATGATATGGTTAAACAACTTGAAATAAAATTTTTTATTTTAATCTTAATTTATTTTTTATTTTAATCTTATTAAATCTAAAAATTTTAATATAAAAATGATATTATATTATCTTCTTCTTTAGGATTACTAGAAGTAGCAAAACGATGTATGATATACAGGAAATAGAATGACATGGAAAGAATAATAAAGGAGAAATAGAAGAAATGGAAGTGGAACAGTAGAAATGGAAATCATTGATTGAGTTATTATGAAAATTAGGATAGCGAACATGATCAATAAAATCAATATTTACACGTGTTTTAAAAATAATTACATATATAAATTATATTACTTATTAAAAAGAATCATTATTCAATTCAATAAGAAATATTATTAAAAATAAAATCTTTTTTCAAATTTGTTCATTTAAAAAAATATCTATTATGTAACTCATTTATAACTTTATAAACATAATGAATTTTTATTTATCTTGGATTCTAATAGATTCCATTAATTTTTAACGGAATATTATAACTTTTAAAAAAACAGTTTAATATAGATACAAAAATTATTTCATTATATTTATGATTTCAAGAATTTATATATTATTAATATATTAATAATATATTTATATATTATTTATATTTATATAATATTAAATTATAAAATTAAATTATTATTATTAAATATTTCATATTTAATATTTTAAATTAAATATTTCATATTTATAAGTCAGGAATATTCAAATTGACCATAATTTTATAGTTTATTTATATAATATGTTATAAATATAGTACTTATTAATATAAATATATTTTAGAAATTATAGATTAATAGATTATTTTCTATAAAGATTGAAATTTTGAAAAGAAGATATATGAAAATATATTATAAAACATATTAATATGAAAGCATATTTGATTATATTTGATTATAAAATAAAATGAAATCATATATTTTCACTTTTAAAAATAAATAATTATATAAAGTTCTATCTTATTAATTACTTAAGTGATAAATTATCATAGATTCTATCATAAATATCCTAAAATTCAATCAATGCATAAACTCAAATATATATTTTGGAAATAATAAATATTTAATTTTCCTGTCCAATCATAGATATAATTTAAAATAATTAAATATAATAATAATCTATAATAATATATATCTTATAATTATATATAACTTACTAATCTGAATCTGTAACCAATCCAAGTTCAGCAAGAACATCTTGTAACAAATTAGCAGGAATAAAATCATTTCCCTCTGGATCAAATTTTCTAAAAACTCTCTTTGCTTGATCCGCAGGTGTTTCAGGACTCACAAGTTTCTTTTCAGTAGAAAACAGTACAGTCAAATGAGTTTCTGAACCCAACACCCAAATAGGATTTGATGGAGATTTTAAAAAAGTTCCTACTTCACAATAACACAAATGTTCAAGAAGTGCAAGAAATCCTATTGCATTTTGTGTATCTATTCCTCGTAATTCTGAAATTTATATATTTTTTTAATATTAATAATATAAGAAATTTACTATAAAATATAATTTAATAATGCATTCAAAAATATTGAAAGAATCTATCTATTTTATTATACTTATATTTATTATATAGCAGAATTTAAATTCAATTTTAAGTTTATCTTTTCAAAACCATATTTATTTTATGTTACAATGATTATGTATTTATTCATTTTTAATTATATAATTTCTTAAAACAAAAAATAAATATATATACTTTTTTTTTCACAAATCAAATTCTCATTATTCTGTATAAATTTTGTTCTCCATATCAATTTAATATATAATAAATTTTTTTAAAAAATAAATCGTTAAATTTCATTATTATTAACTGATGAAATATGTAATTATATGTATTGTAATAATATGTAATATATGTAATTTATAATTATTGTAAATATATATATAATATAAATATAATTTTTGTTATAAAACCAAAAAAATATTTATCAAATAAAGAAAAATTTACTATGTTATCATATTATTGTAATTATTATATTTCTTAATAAATATTTAAAATATTTACATTATTATTTAATCATTTTTCAATTATTCTATTCAATTACTCTATAATATATAATACTATATAATACATATAATATTGTCTACATAGAATGATCTATGAAAAAAAATTGAAGAAAGATTTATGTATTAAATTAAACATTATTAAACAAACAGAACAAATTGACAAAAAATAATATATGCACACATACACATATACATTTACATTAAATTCCTTTTCATAAAAAATTAAATAAATTATATATTCAACATTTTTTTTATCTTTACTCATTTTCAAATTATTGTAATTAATAAATTCATAATCATAAATTTTAAAATATGAACGAAAACCTAAACACTTAAAGATAAAAAAAGAGAATATATATTTATTTATTCTATCTCAATATATCAACTAAATTTTTTATTAAATAAAATTTATATTACCTAATCAAATCCATATGTAATACAAAATATAAAAATATCTTACTCAATCCTCCAACATCTTGATCGTGATCCCATACATGACTAACTGCTCTTCCCGTAAGCATTAAATTTATAAGACTCTGATTTCCATAGCCATATGTTGAATCAATCATTGATTCTAATGGATCAGACATTTCTGAACGAATTTCAGTTACACCTTTTGTAACAATTATACTATAAAGAAGCAACAAAATTCCATATCGATCTTTTAACATCTCTAACCTCTCTAAAAAAAACTCTTCCACATGTTCAGAGGTATTAGTTGTAAAAAGTCTAAAAAAGAGAATTCATCATTATAATAAATATCAGATTTTATGTTCTACTTCAAACTACTTGAAAATTAAATATAGAATGAAGTAGTTAAATGAAATCACTTAAATATTAGACTTATTTGATATTATATGAAAAAAATTCACAAAAAACAAAATAATATTGCAAAAGATACAATGTAATAAAATTTTTTTCTCAAAGACATTTTTTTACATAAAATTGTTATTTTATAAATGGAATCTTATTTTTCGATATCATATGGATTATAAACATAAATACTCATAAACATAAATTGTTTATATTTATATCTAAATAATATTAATATGTGAATAAATTTGTAATTCTATGTCCATTCTAGATATTCAAAAAAATTTTTATATCTTTAGGATTAAATAACTCAAATCAGAAAGATATGATGATTCAAGTCGTTCAATTTTTTTTTTTTTTTTGCATTCTGTAATGACATTGAAAAAACAAATATAAATTTTCATTTAAAAAGTAACAATGATCTTGACATTTATGAAAAAAAAAAAAAAAAAAAAATTATAATCTTGAAAAAACATTGTTTTTAACATCACACAAGTGTGTTGTGTTCATCATCACAAATATATATAAATTATTTTTTTGAAATAATAAATTGTCCTAAAAAGTTTTTTATACAATAAATAAATAAAGCAGATATTTATTTTTTTATGATTTTTTTTTCCATTTTGTGCATTTATAAAAAACATTTAGTTTTTTTTTCCTAATGACAAAAATATAATTAATTTTTGCAATTATATGATAGATCAATTTTGCATTAATAAAAAATTTACTAAATTAAAATGTATTTTAAATGTAATTTGTATTCAAAGTTATTGTTAAAATATAAATAATCGACAAGTTTTCTTACCTCAATTGAGAATGAAAAAGATCGGAATCTACACTTCTGCATTCTTCATTCATTTCCATCAGTAATATTTTTTTTTTTGTTTCTTGATTTTCATTATTTGCTACATTTATTTCTGTTTCACGGTTTTCAATTTCTGGTATTTTTTCTACCCATTTGGTTTTCCTTCCATTGTCTTCATTTGAAAATTTACAATCCATGAAAACAATACAAAATTTTGGAACTTTTTCCCCAGCTGCCTGTTTTAAAATTTCTATAGAAGCCCGTACAAGGAGTTGATAACATGTATCTAAATTTATATTTTTCCAAGCTGAAACATCAGTCTCTGATAATAATTCCTTTAAAATAAAGGCTTGAACAGGAGCTATTACTGCACAAGGACCACCTTCTGTTTGTATCAATGCTGTTGGCTCATCGGGACTAAAATAAAATCCTAAAACAATAGAAACAAGTATAAAACAATGAGTTAAGTTATTTAAAAATTTGAATTTTTAATATGAATTTTAAATATTACTATTTGTAAATTAATATCCATATTAGTATTAAAATACTTATAAATATAATTATAATACAATATGTATCTTAAAATATTAATTACTGTTTATGTCAATTTTTATTAATGTCATTATATTTATAATTTATATTATGTTTAAGGAATGATTTTTATTTGTTTTGTGCATATATTATGTATATATATATATATTATAAATGAGATTGATTAAATATCTTTGATTAAAAATATAGAAAATATAAAAAAAATGATTCAAATTGAAATTATAAAAATGATATATTACATATTCTTATATTTGACATCAAAATAAATTTTTAAAATGCAATTTATTTTATATAAAGCAATTATCTCAAATTGTATATCAAGCAATACTAATGTCAATATTGCATCAAATTTGAAAATTCATATTTTGAAATTGATTTGTATAAGATCTATGTATATATATATTTAATGTTTTAAAAACATTTTAGAAAAAAAATAGTTTTAACAATATTTGATAAAAAAAAAAATAAATTTTCATTAAAAAATTTAAACATTGTCTTTATAAATTTTTTTAATTTTTTTAATTTTGCAAAATCAAATAAATCATATATTCTTTAGAATTCTATTAATTATTTTTCTATAATTATTTTTAATAATAATTATAAATAATTATAATTATATTATTTATATTTACATGTTTCTAAATAAACAACATATTTTAATATTTTGTATAATAATATTTTCAAATCTTTGTATAAAATCTTTGTAATGAAAAATTTGTAATGATAAATATAAATATGTTATTGTTTTAATAAAATATATATTGTATATAACAAAATAAAAATGTAAACAATTAAATAATTGTTGAATTGATCAAAATACAGTTATTTAGTATTGTTTAAAATATAGTATTGAAATTGTTTTACACATTTTTTACACTTAATGTAAAATATTAAATATTAAATATTAAATATTATTTAAAAATTATTTAAAAAAAAATTTTTTCAATCCATTTATTAAATTTAGAAATATTTAAAATTTCTTATATAATTGGCAATTGAGTTTTATAATAAATAAAAATTTAAAATAAACATAATATTATATATAGTAAGATATAATATATAATATATATTATATATAATATAATATATAGAAAAACTAAAAAATGATAATAAAAATGATAATAAAAACTGAAATATTGTTTTATATGTGTTATTAATATATTGTGACAATTCAATATTAATAATAAATAAACTAATAATTAGTAAAATGAAATCTATAAATTTTATAATTTCTATTATTTTGTAATAAAACTTTGATTTTTTATTTGTATAAAATACAATAATAGATAAGTTATCACTTATATAAAATATATATAAATTACTTTTATTTCAATAATTATTTCAATTAATAATTAATAATTAATAATAATTTTATTTCAATATATTATTAATTTATAATTGTGTATAAAATCTCTATATCGTCCGTTTATTGTGAAATGAAAATAAATAATTAATATGTTTTATTTATTATTAACATATTATTTAATTAATAACAATCATTATTATTAATTAAATAATGTTAATAAATAAATAAATGGTTTTGAAATTGAAATGGCTGAACTAAATTAATAAATTCTAAAAATAATTATTCTTAATTTTAAATATTTATTAGTTAAAAAATTATGAATATGTAAAATTTAATATTTTTAACATATAAATTAGTTCTATTGGTCTTATATATAATCATATATCAATATGATCAATAATTATATAATAAGATTGATGAATTAATATAAATAATATAAATAATATATGTTTATAATATAAATAATATAAATAATATATTTGTATTCCAAATAAAATATTGAATACCTAATTTTTTGAATGCAAAAAAAAATCATTAAGTTTAGATCAAAATTATATTACATTTAAATAAATAAATTAATATAATATATACTTATAATTTTTAATAAAGTAATTTTCTGAGTTTAAGCTTATATTTTTAATATATATTTATTGAATAAAAAATAAATTTTATTATTAAAAAACAAAAAATCAATAATTTTTTATATTTTAAAAATTTATTTATTTTAACTTTCAAATTTATTTATTATAACTTTCAAAAATATTTAAACAAAAATAATATTATTTAATTTAAAATATATACTTAACTAATAATATAAGAATTATTATTTTATTACTCATATATTTGACAAAATTTTATATATTTTATGACAGGAATATATAATTATTAACAATCAAAGGGCTATTTAAAATATTAATGAACATTTATCATATTAATAAACATCAAATTTCATATCAAATATGAAAGCATAGTAACAAGTGCTTAATATAAGTCTTATAGCATTGATTTTTTATAAAATATCAAATTTATTAAACATTATTTCATTCTTTATAAATAAATAAAATTAAAAACGTTTATTTATTAGAAATTTATATTTAATTATATTTAATAATTTAATATGAATAATCTGAATTTCATTATAAAAAAAAAATATAAAAATATAAACTTACCTTGAGCCCATCGTTTGAAAACATCTTTTTTAATACTATTACCCCAGAGCAATGTCTTGATGGAATGTACAAACTCATCATCGCACTGAACGACATTTTCAGCCATTATCCACGTGTTTTTTTTTATTATTAGAACATTAAGGTGTTGCACAAATACAAATTATTTCAACATAATCATAATACCCTTTTATAATTCTATCGAATCAAATTATTTTATTATTATTTCTGCCAATTACAATTGTATTGTATAACCTATTTAGTGAAAGAAACAATCACCCAGTACTTCGCCATTTTAGATATTGCATAGTTAGTAAATATATAAGATGGGTGATATCTATTTTTCATATTTAAAAAGTAAGACCTTATTTTCATGACAAATTTTCTTTAAACAACTATTAATAGATTTTGTATGTCAAATGTGCATGCGTGCATGATGTATGTATGCGCGCGCGCGTATATAGATGGTTGTGTGCATAGCATATTAAAATCTTCCATTCATTTAATTATTTATATTAAAAAAGTAAAACAATTTTTTTAACTAAAAATATGAAATAAATATATTTTATGTTTACATATGTTTTCAATTTGATTATTATAACTTTGATTATTATCAACTTGATATATATATATAATATATATATATATATATATATATATATATATATATACAAATAATTATTCTAAGCTTTATATGTTTTAAAATTTTATCCATCATTTAATATTTTTGTATATTTTAATATACAATATATAATATAATAATATAATATATTATTATATATAATATATTTTCTCTTAAAGTAAAATAAATCAAAAAATTAAATTTTTGAAATTTTTAAAAATTAAATAAAATCTTAATTTTCAGTGTATAAAATTTTATAAATTGAAATTTGACTTATTATTTATATATTTCAATCACTGTTGCATAATTATTGCATAGTTGCATAGTATACATCATTTCGTATATGTAATGGTTTAATAGTAATTGACATAGAATAATTAATGTTTAATTAACATACATAGCACAAGAATTGATATCGTGTTGATGATGGTTTAAAAATTAAATAATGTTTAATGTAAGTATTTAAATTTATATTATCCTTAAAAATAATCTGAATTTATTATAGACAATAATTAGAACAGGAATTATTTATAAAATTATTTAAAACATTTATTAAATATTAAATAAAATGAATAGTTATTTCATCAATAATTAATATTTAAAATAAGAGTAATTATTATTTAAATATAATAAAAATTTATATAATTATTTAATTCAATAAAATAATTCTTTTTCGATTTCAATATTCTAATAATAATAAAATTGAATTATATTCTAAGAATAAAATAATTTGATTTATATTATTATTTTTTAATGTTCAAATTCAACTTTTATGAAGTAAAATTTATTAAAAATATATTATATATTAATATAATATTATATTCATAATAACAATTTTATTTAAGTTATCCGCCACATATATAATTTTTACTTTTTCTGTACAAGATGTCGTTCTTATCTGAAAGAGAATATCCGGCTATAATATAGAGAAGTTTCAATCTGTTTTGTATGACGTGGCTTGCAAAACAGTATAGCTTTAAAAACTCCGTGCCTAGCAATGGGGATGTATTTTCAATAAATAATATTGTGCTCACAACGAAATGTGTTTTTGAAAGCGTATGAAGAAAGTGTTGTGATCTATCTAATTTTAAAAACTTTCTATGATTGATAATACTCTGGTAAGTTACATTTTGTTATTTGTATTATAATATATATAAATATAACCCTATAAATGCTTTAGATACATTATACAAATTCTATTTTAAAGTAATAATATGTTTTTAATAAAATTTAAATATGCAATCTAATTATATTTTTTTTTATTGAATTTCAGTTTTTAATGGTTTTGTTACATAAAATAACAATTGACTTTTTTGTTATTAAAAGAAATTTACAAAACTTAATCTTTAAAAAATATATATATATATATAAAAATATATTATAATTATTTATTATTTTTATAGTTACTGCCAATAATTTAGTGTTTGAAAATATTGTTAATATTCAATCTTTTTTTCATTTTTTACTTGATTGTTATAAAATAGAAATTTAAAAGTAAAAGCTTAGTAGAAATCTATAACAAATAATATGTAATATAATTGAAATGCATTATTTGAAAGTATTAAAAATGACATTAGAATAAATTAGAAATATAAAAAAAAAGCTTTCATATATATTTATTATAAATATTAATAAAATATTTAAAATATATTCAAAAATTCAAAAATTAAATTTCAAAACTGATTTTAGTAAAGAGATGATTGTTCTCATGACTGGTTTATAAATTATTTGCTTATTAATATTTTTAATTATACAGAATATTTTAAAATTAATATTGAATCTATATTATGCACTTTAATAAAGACTTATAAAATTAAATGTTTTATATTATATATTTGTTATATAATTGTTATATATTATTATATTCATATAAATATCATAATAAATTATAATAATTATTTTTTTTTAAATTCACAAGCATTCTAAAATTTATAGGTGTATTAATGAATGAAATAAATATATATATAATTATAAAAGCTTACATTCTACTAATAATTATTTATATCTATATTAATCTTTAAAAATGTGTTTGAAATAAATAATTAATGTGCATAAAAATATTTTAAATAATATTATTATTAAACATATATAATATTTTTTTAAAAATAAAAGAATTTAGATGAATATATTTTATTGTAAATTTGTTGTCATTCAAATAAAAATTTCTTATAAAAATGATATATTTTTAATATATATAATAATATAATATTGATATTTTTGTTTCATAAATATTAAATAATAATTAAAATATATTTTAATAATTAATAAATCAATAAATTATTTGATTAATTAATTAATAACTATATAAGAATATGAAATATAAATATAAGAATAATCATTGAAAAACTTATCATAATACATGTTAGTTTAATTGAATATCTTTAATATATATAAATAATATATAATAAAAAACATTTGTTTATATACATAAATGATATGATTATATTTATATACATACCAGTTTATATTTATACATAAGATAAGAAAAATACATCTGTAATTTATTAACTTCAAATAATGTCAATTATTAAATATATTTTTTATATGCAAATTGATATTTATATAAGAAATATAATTCTCTATGTTAAAACTATTAATTTCAATTGCATTGCAGACATTATATGTATTATCTATATCAATATCTTTCAAGTGATTAATATATTTAAATCATTTTTTTTATCCATTTACAAATAGTAATCTATATTTCAATAATATGATTAATCAAAATTTTATAAATTTTAAAAATTCTGTAAATTTATAATATATTAGAAATGTATTATAAGTATTTCTTAAAATAAAATATTCATTAAACATATAATTCTAAAAAAATTAAATTGAATACAATTGAATATATATATAAGAATATATATTTATTTTTGTACAAATAATATTTATTTATTAATATCTATTAAAAAATAAAATTAATACGAATTATAGAATAATTTGATTTTAATGATGTATAAAAAATTTCATTAATATATTACATTATAAAAAAGATAAATTAGATAAATTAAAAAACTTTTTTTTTAAGGACATTAGTTATTCTAAGTATTAATATTGATATTAATAGGTTAAGTACATCATTTTTTCTAGCTATCATATCATAATGTACGTTATCGTTTAAATTGCGTTTAAAAATATCACACAATTTACATTTATTAAAAATAATATCGATTTCAATATTAATTTGATTATTTTTCTTGAAAAACACAAAATTAAAAAACTATTTCATATAAAACATAAAAGTAGTATTTGAAGGAAATTTTAATTGAAGAAAAATAAAGAAGAAAGTACATTTTATTTCATTTGATATTTATAACATTACTTTTTAATTCAAAATGAAGAATAAACAAATAAAAAAATATACTTCCTCTATTTTATATTTATATATTTTATACTCTTACATTTTTTTATTTTAAATAAATATTTAAATTGCCATATTACCGGAAGTAATTATTGTAAACTTGCCTACACAGATATATCGTTTATTTGCAACAATATATATATACCAAAAAATAAAATATATATATGTATAATTTTAAAGAAAATAAATTTAAATGTTTTCAATTTTTATAAGAATATTTGAAAATTATATTATATTATTAGTTATTAGCAAATTGAAAGTTCTATATTTAAAAATTCACAAAACTACTATAAAATAAAAATAAATAAAAATGGTTCTTTTTATATTAATAATAAAAAAATTGCAATTTTTAAATTATAGATTATTATTGTAATAAATGAGCGATATGCAATCTAAAAATTATGTAATTATATTGTAATTATATTTAAATAAAAAATTATTTATATTACAATTTATGTTTAGATTAATGTAGCAATAGAAACGAATTTAAATATTCGAATCTAATTTTTATTTTTTTATTTATTGTATAATAATAATAATAGAGCAAATATTTTAATGTGATTAAATATAAATTAGAACAAAAATTATTATAGATAAAAATTATGTTTATATAAATTTAAAAAATTATCTATTTTATATATATATATATGTTTCATATACATATGTATTAATTCTTACTTTATACAAATTACTTATATAATTATTATTAGAGTTTGAGTAAATATATTATATATTTTAGTAAATATATATTTAAGAAATTGACTTATTATATGACTTTTGAAAATATATCACATTAGTGAATATTACAAATATAATATAATAAAACATATTTAAAGAAAAAATAATATATTTATTAAATATTTTATAAATCTAAGAAAATTAATTGAAATAAGATAAAAAATTAAGGTAAACAATATTATAAATACGAATATATTTTTTTTATAATATGTGTATTAAATATATGCATAATGGGAAAATAGGAGACGAAGAATGAGAAAGGAATTATAATTTAATTCTCGAAATAAAAAGACAGAAAATAAGAAATAAATGAATATAATAAGTGCATAAATATACATAAATATAAATCTAATAATAAATTATAATATTGACAAATTTTTCGCAATAAAAAAATAGAAATGCGCCTGAAAGAAAAGCACATATTATATAAATCTTAATATATTGTAAAGATTGTTATGTACATATATGTATCTACGTACTATCATATTTAAGGATTTGATAATTTTCGAACTGAGCATATATTCATATATGTGACAATACAATAAATTTTGTATTATGTATTTTCTATTATGTAATTATTATTTCATTATTCTAAATAATTTTATATATATATATATATATATATATATATATGTATGTATGTATGTATGATTTAAGAGCAGGATTCCATATTGATTCGCAAATTTTTATAATATTTAAATAATCTATTAATTTTATATATTCATGTACAAATTAGATTGAATATTCAATATCTATTTTATTATTTTGTTTTCAAAAAATATAATTACATATATTGTTTTAAGAAATAATCTTTATAAATAATCTTATAAATAATCTAAAGTTTTATTTATAATGTCATATATTTTTTCAATGAATTTTCAACATCAATACTCTTTTTTGAATAAAATGATTTATTTTTATTATATTAATATACATATATATTATAATATGAAATATAATTAAAATGAATATAATTGTATAAATATGTTCCTATTTTTCTAAAAAACAAATTTTATCGTATTTATAATATTATAAAAGAATACAAAATTGTATAAGAATAAATATATTATTACTATTTCAAAATTTATTAATATTATTAATATTATTAAATATTATTAAATTGATTGCAAATCCAAAAATATGATATAATAATTAATCATTGATAACAGTTTCAATTAGTTTTTGATTTAAAACGAATATTTATTCTATTTATTCTATCTATATTATTAATATTTTATTCTATGCATTCAATTTTATTGAATATGATATATATAATATTTATTTATATAGTCGTATTCTGTATATAATATATAAATATTATTTATATTATTGAGGTTATTTTTCAACGAATCATATACTATTAAATTTGTTTTGAATGTACATATATTACATTATATTACAAAAATAATAAAAATATGTTATTTTATTTAAAATTTGAACGACCTTGAAATAATTAAATGTATTTTTTTAAGAAAAAAAATTTTAAATTTTAAGATATCTGTTTCTACAAATTTTTAAAATTTTCTTCTTTTGTGATTTATTATTTTATAGAAAATATAACAATAAAGATATTTTACACATAAACAATTAAATCTCAATAATTTAAATTTTTAGAAAAAAGGTAAATATTTTTGAATGATGGAGGTTTCATTTTATCGAAAAATTAAAAGATTTAACAAACAGAAATTTGATAAATTTTGCATAAGAATAAATATTTTTTCAATTATTCGAGAGATCAAAGAAAAAAAAATTTATAAAATGATTATTTCTTAAAAATATTTAATTTTATTGACTTTAATATATATAAGTTAAGATTTAAATATTATAAAATATTTAATCAATATTTATAATCAAACTTTATAAAATATAAACAAAGAAAATACGTGAAATGTCTGCAATGTTATATGATAAAAAATATAACACATAGAAAAATATTGATAATGTATAATTTTTAAACAATTTTTTTTATTAGTTTTTATTAATCTTCAAAAATCATTTTATAAAAAATTATTTTTTAAATAATATGTATTTAAATTTTACTTAAGTAAATATAAAATTCAATTATAAATAAAAATAAGGTATTTAATCTATTCAAATCAATTACTATTAAATTTATTTATTTATATTAAAAGTCTGTTTACTGTTCATTCTGAAATGTGAAAGGGTCTTTTCATATGTACAACTATGAATCGGGTCTCGGTACGCGCATCAGCAACACCGAGCTCTCCAAATCCGGGAGAGTAGCGCCGCTCGCGGGAATAGCCTACCAGCGGAGCGGTACTCGCTCTGCCCGTTTCGTGCGCCAACGAAATATCTTCGACTAGACTGAAATCTTCTTCGGGCACCCAATATAAAAAGTAAGTTCTTGAATTTTATTTTTTCATCGACAATATTATAATTATATTTTTATTATTTATACCTTGAAATATTTTAGAAAAGATAGTTTCTTTCTTGTTCTTAATCCTTTACATTTTATATTTTACGTTCTTTCATGAATACACATACACAAATTACATATATGCATATATATGAATATATTTACAATATTACGTATAAGTAATACGTATAATGATAAATATATGCGCAATATATATATATATATACATATATATAAAATATATATATATGCATATAGATTATATACATTAATGTGTATGTATATATTTACCCATATATATATATATATATATATATATATA